TCTCTTCTCTCTTTCCTCCCTCCCTCCTTCCCCTCCTCTTCCTTCTCCCTCCCTCCTGTCCTCCTCACTTCCTTGTCTTCTCCCTCCGCTGCCTCCTTCCTCCTCCTCTTTCCTCCAGGGGAGAGAAAGGCGGGGGGAGAGAGAGAGATTGATAGCACCCAGCTGTCAATCAGTGGCTCTAGTGCCGTGAGCCGGAAGGGAAGAATGGATACCGAGGAAGTTACTTGACTTTCCTTAGTGAGACAGTTCCTCCTTCTAGAACTGCCCTTCCTATGTCCCCTGTGCTCCTCTCCAGTCCATACTCTACATCTCAGCCAAAAAAAACAGCAATTCTAAAGCACGTATCTGCCCACCACCCTCCGTGGCTCAACACTCTTCAGTGGTACCCAGCACCCTCTGAGTCTACGCCAAGCTTCCTACCCTGGCATTGGAGCCACGCTCTGGGTCCTTTACTCATCTGGCTCCTGCCTCATCCCTTCCACCCCCACCCATACCCTGCATGCCAGCCCAGGCAGCCCCTCCCCCCTCCCACAATAGCTCTCCTGCATTCCTGTCCCCTGCCTTCTGCTTAAGCTGTTCCCACAGCCTGGAGTCTCCCTCCTGGCTGGAGGAAATCCTGCCGGCTCACATGGCCGTGATCCCCATCATTTCCTGCAGAAAGCTTGCCCAGCTCTCCAACACAGGGGCCTTCTGCCCCTCCTGAGCCCTGAGTCCCCTCCGTCTTAACTGGGAGGTCACCTGTTTGCGTGGTGTCTGCTCAGTTTGCAGGCAAGGCCACCAACACGCTCCCTTCCTGTCTTGTTTCCTTCCTCCCATCCTCTCCTGTCCACCCTCTGCCCCTCCCTCCCTTCTTCTCTTCTTTCCTTCTAGTTACTGAGCCATGCCATGTGCTGCATGCAGTGAGGATGAATAAAATAAACCTAGAGCAATCATTCCAGTTACTGCAGCCATATAACAAATTATTCTAAAACTCAGTGGCTTCAGACAAGGACCGTATTTATTTTGCTCAAAAACCTACCATCTGCACAGGCCCTGGTGGAGGCAGCTTATCTGTGTGCCCTTTGGTGATGGCTGGGCCCGGCAAGAAGCTGGGGAGGTGCTTGGGTTGGAAAGATTCAAACGGCTGGACTCTGGGACAACTGGAGCTCGTTGGCCCCTGTGATTGTCTCTGCACAGCTTCAGGGCAGCTAAACTTACCTTACACTGCTGAGGCTTCTCAAGATGTATGTAGGGAGAGAGAGCTGGGGGGAGAGGGAGAGAGAGAAAGAGAGAGAGAAGAAGAGAGAGGGGAGAGAGACAAGAAGAGAGAGAGGAAGAAAAAAGGAGAGAGAGGAAGAGAGAAGGAGAGAGGAAGACAGAGAGGAGGGAGAGAGAGAGAGAGAGGAAGAGAGAAAGAGAGGAAAGAGAAAGAGAAGGGAAGGGAAAGACGTGTGTGTGTGAGAGAGAGAGGGAGAAAGAGGAGAGAGAGAGAAGACAGAGGAGAGACAGAGAAAGAGAAAAAGGAGAGAGAGAGAGGGAGGGAGAGAGAGAGAGAGAGAGAGAGAGAGAGGAGAGTTAGAGAAGAACAAGAAAGGAGAGAGAGAATGAGAATGAGAATTGGGTGCCATAAACCCTCTGATGGGGAAAGCAAAGGGCATTGTGGGAGAATCCTCTCAGCACCTGGGACAGCACCCGATGCTGACCAGGAACTTAACAACCAGAAAAATGGTAAAGAGGTGCACAGCCCACCTGGAGTCCAAATAGATGTTCTAACTCTCTTGGATGTGTCTGGGAATCAGCTAGGAGGTCCTCAGAGGAGGACTTTGCATGCGTTGTTCTCTTTATAATAACCATATTAACAGCCAGCAATGTTCTGGTACTTATGGAGTAAGTCCTTGTTATGAATGACTTCATGTCATCCTTCCAAATTCAATGACAGGTAGCCGGGCGCGGTGGCTCACACTTTGCAATCCCAGCACTTTGGAAGGCTGAGGCAGGTGGATCACCTGAGGTCCGGAGTTCGAAACCAGCCTGGCCAACACGGCAAAACCCCATCTCTACTAAAAATACAAAAATTAGCCAGGTGTGTTGGTGAGCACCTGTAATCCCAGCAATTTGGGAGGCTGAGGCAGGAGAATGGCTTGAACCCAGGAGGCAGAGGTTGCAGTGAGCCAAGATCACGCCACTGCACTCCAGCCTGGGGACAGAGTAAGACTCCGTCTCAAAAACAACAACAACAACAACAACAGCAACAACAGCTTTCGGGCTGGTGCAGTGACTCATGCCTATAATCTCAGCACTTTGGGAGGGTGAGGCAGGTGGATCACCTGAGGTCAGGAGTTTGAGACCATCCTGGCCAACATGGTGAAACCTCATCTCTACTAAAAATACAAAAATTAGCTGGGTGTGGTGGTGCACGCCTGTAGCCCCAGCTACTCGGGAGGCTGAGGCAGGAGAATTGCTTGAACCCAGGAGGCGGAGGTTGCAGTGAGCCGAGATCACGCCACTGCACTCCAGCCTGGGCAACACAGTGAGACTCTGTCTCTCAAAAAACAAAACAAAACAAAACAAAACAAAACAAAACAAGAAACAAATCCTGCGACTTCCCAATCTCATCTCCTCCAGCCCCTGGCAGCCACCACTCTTATTTTCTGTCTCTATGAATTTGACTCCTCCAAGTGCCTCATGTAAGTGAAATTATACAGCATTTGTCATTGTGTAACTGGTTTAATACGTTTGAGATGGTGAGAGCTTAAGGTCTACAGGACTAAGGTGTTTTTTTTCTTTTTTTTCTTTTTTTTTTTTTTTTTGACAGAGTTTCACTCTGTCACCAGGCTGGAATGCAGTAGGGCGATCTCGGCTCACAGCAACCTCTGCCTCCCGAGTTCAAGTGATTCTCCTGCCTCAGCCTCCTGAATAGCTGGGACTACAGGTGAGCGCCACCACAACCGGCTAATTTTTGTATTTTTAGTAGAGACAGGGTTTCACCATGTTGGCTAGGATGGTCTCGATCTCCTGACCTCGTGATCCGTCCACCTCCACCTCCCAAAGTGCTGGGATTACAGGCGTGAGCCACCGCGCCCGGCCATGGACTAAGGTCTTAAAATAGCTCTTCCTGTCTGTGTAATCTCCATTATGGCAGGACTTATATAAGAAGATGACAGTTCATCTGATGTGGAAGAAAACTTACTCCTAGAGTGACTTGGATTGAATTCTTCCCTGTTCCCAGCGGTGTCTGCTTCTGGAGTCTCAGGCACTGTCAGGGGTAGGAGGTGGTGATCAGATATGCTCTCTCTGAGCAGTGCAAGGGGAAGCAGCATTCCAGTTTGGTGGGGGTGATAAACATGGACAGGTAAGTGCAGGACTGTCTGCAATACTCAATCTAAGAAAGGTAGTTCCGGCAGAGTTCAGGGAAGGTATCTCTGTGCAGAGCCAGACATAGGGATGAGATTCTGAGAATTTGGAAATCAATCAGGCCACCAGCCCCTCCTCCCTCAGACCCAGGAGTCCAGGCCCCTGTCCCTCCTCCCTGGGACCTAGAAGTCCATGCCCCCGGCCCCTCCTCCCTTGGACCCAGGAGTCCAGGCCCCTAGCCCCTCCTCCCTCAGACCCAGGAGTCCAGGCCCCCAGCTGCCTTCTCCCGCAGGACCCCAGGAGCTTGGGTACCCGCAGGCTACTAGATCCTTGTTTCTGTGCATGGAAATTCTCAAATTATCCCCAAAAGTCTATGAAGAAGGTAAACACACATTTCCAGATGAAGGAGTAGGCTGATATATTTGAAAGACACACAGAGGGTCACAGTCTGGAATTGACAGTGGTGGGATTCGAACCTGTTTCACGCCAGAGCTGTGTCGCGCCTTACATGGCGCGGCAAGTATGACGTCATTCGAACAACCCATAGGCCCCGCCCACTGACGTAGCCACGCCCTTAGGCTCCTGAAACCACTTCTCCCAGCTGTGACAGCGCTCAGGACCGTGCTCATAGGTCCCGCCCCTGGGATCCCCGCCCCCTCCGCCCGCGCCCCGCCCCTCGCAGCCCAGTTCCGGAACCCGCGGGCCCCGCCGCGCCTGCGCCTCCGCACGTGGGTGGCTGCGCCGCGCGCTCTTCCTCCGAGGGGCCGGGGCGGCTGGTGTGCAGCCGGCTCCGCTTCGACCCCCGACCCGTGTGCCCGGCCCGGCATGAGCCGCTACCTGCTGCCGCTGTCGGCGCTGGGCACACTAGCAGGCGCCGCCGTGCTGCTCAGGTGAGTACCTTCTAGCCCCGCGTGCACGGTCAAGGCAGGCCTCCCGCGCAGGGGCAGGGAAGGCGGCGGAGACTCCCGCCCCTCGCACCCGGGTCCGGCCCCCGCAGCTCCCGACCGGCAGTGTCCGCCCCAAGTGGGGCAAACCTGCGCACTGGCCGGCCAGGTCACCGGCCCAAGGTCACTCGGAGGGAAGGGCGAACCTGGGCCCTTGTAAATGTTGCTTTCCTTCCAGACTTTTAAACTCTTTATTTTATTGTATTATTTATTTGTTCGTTTATTTTTAAAGGCAGAATCTGGCTCTGTTGCCCAGCCTGGAGTGCAGTGGCGCGCTCGTGGCTCACTGCAGCCTTGACCTCCTGGGCTCAGGTGATCCTCCCACCTGAGCGTCCCCAGGAGCTGAGACTACAGGTGCGCCACCACGCCCGGCTAATTTTTGTTTTTTTTTTTTTTAGTAGAGACGGGGTTTTGCCATGTTGGCCAGGCTTGTCTCAAACACCTGCGCCTCAGGTGATCCGCCCGCCTCGGCCTCCCAAAGTGCAGGGATTACAGACGTGAGCCACCTCGCCCGGCCTTCTTAATTTAAACTTACTTAAAAAAAAACTAATTTTTTTTACTTAAAAAATTAGTGGCTGGTGGACACTGTATTGCATGGTGCCCTTCTGTCCTGTGGGTGCAGTGCTGTGTACCTGCTCAGCCTCCTGTTGCTGGATGGCTTGTTTCCAGCATTAGCCTCTGTGGGACATGGGTGTGGTGGGCAGAGTCATGGCTCCACTGAGGGGTCCACGTCCTAATCCTCGGAACCTGTGACTACATTACCTCAGGTGTCAGAGGTTCTTGCTGATGTGTTAAGTGAAGGATCTTTTTTTTTTGAGACGGAGTTTTGCTCTTGTTGCCCAGGCTGGAGCGCAGTGGCGTTACCTTGGCTCACCACAGACTCCGCCTCCCGGGTTCAAGCAATTCTCCGCCCTCAACCTCCCAAGTAGCTGGGATTACTGGCATGTGCCACCACGCCTGGCTAATTTCATTTTTTTTTTTTTTTTTTGAGATGGAGTCTCGCTCTGTCCCCCAGGCTGGAGTGCAGTGGGGGCAATCTTGGCTCACTGCAAGCTCCACCTCTCGGGTTCATGCCATTCTCCTGCCTCAGCCTCCTGAGTGGCTGGGACTACAGGCGCCCGTCACCACGCCCAGCTAATTTTTTGTATTTTTAGTAGAGACAGGGTTTCACCGTGTTAGCCAGGATGGTCTGGATCTCCTGACCTCGTGATCAGCCCGCCTTGGCCTCCCAAAGTGCTGGGACTACAGGCATGAGCCACCGTGCTGAGCGCCTGGCTAATTTTGTATTTTGCATGAGATTTCTCCATGTTGGTCAGGCTGTTGGTCTCGAACTCCTGACCACAGGTGATCTGCCCATCTCGGCCTCCCAAAGTGCTGGGGTTACAGGCATGAGCCACCGTGGTCAGCCAAGTGAAGGATCTTATGATTATCATGTAGTCTTTTTTTTTTTTTTTTTTTTGAGACAGGGTCTCTCTGTCCCCCAGGCTGCAGTGCAGTCACGCTGTCACAGCTCACTGCAGCCTCAGTCTCCCTGGGCTCACGTGATCCTCCCACCTCAGCCTCCTGAGTAGCTAAGTCTATAGGCGCGCACCACCAAACCCTGCTAATTTTTGTATTTTTAGTAGAGATGGGATGTCAGCATGTTGGCCATGGCTGGTCTTGAACTCCTTACCTCAAGTGATCCTCCTGCCTTCGCCTCCCAAGGTGCTGGGATTACATGTGTGAGGCAGTGTGCCGGGCCTGCCTTGTAGTCTTGTAGGGTCCTTATAAGAGGGAGTAGGAGGCTCAGTCAGAGGGGAGATGGAAGATAGGAGAGGTTGTCAGGTGTGGTGGCTCACACCTGTAATCACAGCACTTTGGGAGGCCAAGGCAGGCGGATTACAAGGTCAGGAGTTCGAGACCAGCCTGACCACCGTGGTAAAAGTCAGCCTCTACTAAAAATACAAAATAAATTAGCTGGGCGTGGTGGCACTTGCCTGTAATCCCAGCCACTCAGGACACTGAGGCAGGAGAATCGCTTGAACCTGGGAGGCGGAGGTTACAGTGAGCTGAGATCATGCCACTGCACGCCAGCCTGGGCGACAGAGTGGGACTCTGCCTCAAAAAAATAAAAATAAAAGCCGGGCGCGGTGGCTCATGCCTGTAATCCCAGCACTTTGGGAGGCTGAGGTGGGCGGATCACAAGGTCAGGAGTTCGAGAGCAGCCTGGCCAATATGGTGAAACCCCATCTCTACTAAAAATACAAAAATTAGCCGGGGGTTGTGGTGGACGCCTGTAGTCCCAGCTACTCAGGAGGCCGAGGCAGGAGAATCGCTTGAACCCGGGAGGTGGAGGTTGTAGTGAGTCGAGATCAGGCCACTGCACTCCAGCCTGGGAGACAGAGTGAGACTCCATCTCAAAAAAAAATAAAAATAAAAATAAATAAATAAAATAAAAATAAAAATAAATAAAAATAAAAATAAATAAAGGAGAGGTTCCAGTGATTATGCGGTTTGAAGATGGAGGCGGGGCCAGGAGTGGAGGAATGTGGTGATTTGTAGGAGCTGGAAATGGATTCTCCCCTAGAGCCTCCAGAGGGAACCTGAGTCTGCCAATACCTTGATTTATTCCAGTGAGACGTATTTTGGACTCTTGACCTAAAGAACTGTAGGAGGATGCACTTACGTGGTTTTAAACCACTAAGTTTGTGGTAATGTGTACAGCAGCCACGGAAATCTCATTCAGTGGGCATTTTAAATTTAAATTAAAATTTTTCTGAGACGGCGTCTTACCCTGTTGCCCAGGCTGGCGCCATTTTGACTCACTGCAACCCCCGCCTTCCAGGTTCAAGCAATTCTCGTGTCTCAGTCCCCCTAGTAGCTGGATTACAGGTGTGCACCACCATGCCTGGCTAATTTTTGTATTTTTAATAGAAACAGGGGTCTCCCCATGTTTACCAGGCTGGACTGGAACTCCTGACCTCAAGTGACCTGCCCCCCGCCCCCGACTTTGGCCTCCCAAAGTGCTGGGATTACAGGTGCGAGCCACCTCGCCCAGCTGGGAATCTCATGCAGTGGGCATTTATAAAATAACGACTGTTGCCAGGTGCGGTGGCTCACACCTGTAATCCCAGCACTTTGGGAGGCCGAGGCGGGTGGATCACGAGGTCAGGAGATCGAGACCATCCTGGCTACGGTGAAACCCTGTCTTTACTAAAAATACAAAAAATTAGCCGGGCGAGGTGGCAGGCGCCTGTAGTCCCAGCTGCTCCGGAGGCTGAGGCAGGAGAATGGCGTGAACCCGGGAGGCGGAGCTTGCAGTGAGCTGAGATCCGGCCACTGCACTCCAGCCTGGGCAACAGAGCGAGACTCCGTCTCAAAAAAAAAAAAAAAAAGACTGTCACTTGCGGAAGGCATTCCACATACCAGACACTAGGTGGAGTCATTTATGGAGAACAGGACAGAGATCCCGTAGTGTGATGTGATGATGTCTGTGTTTCAGTTGGGGGACGTGAGTGAGCTCAGACGGCTTTGCCTGAGATCACTCAGTCAGCGGCACGTGGAGTGAGAGTTGGCAGACAGGACTGACCATGCCGCTTCTCACTGTCAGGGACTATGTCACCGGTGGGGCTTGTCCCAGCAAGGCCACCATCCCTGGGAAGACGGTCATCGTGACGGGCGCCAACACAGGCATCGGGAAGCAGACCGCCTTGGAATTGGCCAAGAGAGGTAAAATCTCCCCTGCTTTGGCTCTCAGAGAGAGATTTGCACATCCATGCTCACTGCAGCGTTATTCACAGCCCGAAGGTGGAAGCAAGCCAGGCACCCATCCACAGATGAACAGAGAAACAGAGAAACAGAGTGTGGCCTCTGTAGACAGTGGTATATGATTCAGCCTTAAAAACGAAGGGCATTGGCCAGGCACGGTGGCTCACACCTGTAATCCCAGCACTTTGGGAGGCCGAGACGGGCGGATCCTGAGGTCAGGAGATCGAGACCATCCTGGCTAACACGGTGAAACCCCGTCTCTACTAAAAAATACAAAAAACTAGCTGGGCGCGGTGGCGGGCGCCTGTAGTGCCAGCTACTCGGGAGGCTGAGGCAGGAGAATGGCGTGAACCCGGGAGGCGGAGCTTGCAGTGAGCTGAGATCCGGCCACTGCACTCCAGCCTGGGCAACAGAGCGAGACTCCGTCTCAAAAAAAAGAACAAAAACGAAGGGCATTCTGGCTGGGCACGGTGGCTCACACCTCTAATCTCAGCACTTTGGGAGGCTAAGGCGAATGGATCACCAGGTCAGGAGTTCGAGACCAGCCTAACCAACATGGTGAAACCCCATCTCTACTAAAAATACAAAAATTATCCAGGCATTGTAGTGGGTGCCTGTAATCCCAAGCTACCCGAGAGGCTGAGGCAGGAGAATCGCTTGAACCCGGGAGGCAGAGGTTGCAGTGAGCCGAGATTGCACCACTGCACTCCAGCCTGGGCGACAGAGCGAGACTCCATCTTCAAAACAAAGCAAAACAAAAAGTAAGGTCATTGAAACAGATGAACCTGGAGGACATTCTACGAAGTGAAGTCAGTCAGTCGACAGAAGAGCAAATACTGTATGATTCCACTTATAGGAGCTACCTAGAGTTCAGTTCATAGAGAAGTTTGAATAATGGCTTGCCAGGGGTTGGGAGGGGAGGGGAGAATGGGGAGTTAATTGTTTAATGGGCACAGAAGTTTAGTTTGGGAAGACGACACAGTTTGAGAAATAGGTGGTTGTGATGGTTGCACAATATTAGAAATTATTATTACTGTTTTTTTTTTGAGAGGGAGTTTTGCTCTTGTCGCCCAGGCTGGAGTGCAGCTCACTGCAACCTCCACCTCCTGCAACGCTCAGCTCACTGCAACCTCCTGCAACGCTCAGCTCACTGCAATGCTCAGCTCACTGCAACCTCCACCTCCTGGGTTCAAGTGATCCTCCTGCCTCAGCCTCCCGAGTGGCTGGGACTACAGGCATGTGGCACCACAACCAGCTAATTTTGTATTTTTAGTAGAGATGGGGTTTCTCCATGTTGGCCTCATCTTGAACTCCTGACCTCAAGTGATCCACCCGCCTCGGCCTCCCAAAATGCTGGGATTACAGGTGTGAGCCACCATGAATGTTTTTAATACCAATGAACTGGACGCTTAAAAATGGTTAAGAGGGCTGGTCTCGGTTCACATCTATAATTCCAGCACTTTTGGAGGCTAAGGCAGGGATCACTTGAGGCCGGGGTTTCCAGACCAGCCTGGACACCGTAGCAAGACCCACATCTATACCAAAATTAGCCAGGCATGCTGGCACAGGTGGTGCCTGTAGTCCCAGGTCACTTGAGCCCAGGACTTCAAGGCTGAGGTGAGCTATGATGGTGCCAGCACGCAGCCAGGGCAGCAGAGTGAGACTCTGACTTAAAAAAAAAAAAAAAAGAAAAGAAAGAAAGAAAAGGGGGTTAAGATGGTAAATTTTAAGTGATTTATATTTTACCACAACAAAAAAATTGGAGGCCAGGCATTGTGGCTTATTTGTAATTCCAGTACTTTGGGAGGCTGTGGAGTGGATCACCTGAGGTCAGAAGTTCAAGACTAGCTTGGCTAACATGGTGAAACCCTTGTCTCTACTAAAAATACAAAAAAAAAAAAAAATTAGCTAGGTGTGGTGGCAGGCACCTGTAATCCCAGCTACTCAGGAGTCTGAGGCAGGAGAATCGCTTGAACCTGGGAGGTGGAGGTTGCAATGAACTGAGATTGCACCACTACACTCCAGCCTCGGTGACAGAGTGAGACTCCAACTACAAAAAAAAAAAGGAAAAAAAAATCCTAATGCCCTCCCCAAGTGCTGGGATTCCAGTTGTGAGCCACCGTGCCTGATGAATTCCATGATGTTTAGTATAGTCAGAGTGCAGAGTGATGCAACCGTCTTTAAAGTCAATCTTAGAACATTTGTGTTACCCTAGAAAGAAACCTTGCTCACTTTTAACTATCAAGCTGTAATTCCCTCTCCCCGCAGCCCTAGAAAACCAATAATCTATTTTCTTTCTCCATGGATTTGCCTATTCTAGGCATTTCATAGGTGTGAAATCATACACATAGCATTCATGTAAATGGGACTGGACACTGTGTGGTCTTTCGTGTCTGGTTTCTTTCCCTGAGCACAGTGTTTCTGAGGGTCATCCTTGCTGTAGCGTGAACCAGTGCTTCACTCCTTTTCATGGCTAATATTCCATCTCTATGGATGGACCTTAGCCCTTCATTCACGGATGGACATTTGTTTTTGTTTTTGTTTTTTATTTAAGTTCTAGGGTACATGTGCATAACTTGCAGGTTTGTTACATATATATACTTGTGCCATGTTAGTGTGCTGCACCCTTCAACTCGTCAGCACCCGTCAACTCGTCATTTACATCAGGTATAACTCCCAATGCAATCCCTCCCCCCTCCCCCCGACATTTGGTTGTTTCTACGTTTTGGCTCTTGTGAAGAATGCTGCAGTGAACACTGGTGCACGTGTTTTTGTGTAGACATATGTTTTCATTTCTCTGGGATCAGTACCTAGGAGGGGATTATTATTATTGAGACGGAGTCTCGCTCGTTGCCCAGGCTGGAGTGCAGTGGCGTGATCACGGCTTACTGCAAGCTCCGCCTCCCAGGTTCATGCCATTCTCCTGCGTCAGCCTCCCCAGTAGGTGGGACTACAGGCGCCCGCCACCTCGCCCGGCTAATTTTTTTGTTTTCTTTTTTTTAGTAGAGACGGGGTTTCACCGTGTTAGCCAGGATGGTCTCGATCTCCTGACCTCGTGATCTGCCCGCCTCGGCCTCCCAAAGTGCTGTCCCGCCGACCTCCCTCCTCCCGCCCTCCCCAAAGTGCTGGGCTGTCACAGCGTCCCCCGAGCCACCCCCGCCGCCCGGCCACGCCGTGGATTATTCAACCTTTAAACTTTTTGCATCCTCCACGGGTTTCTCAGGAGCAACCATCATCCGCCTGGCCCTGCCGAACACCTGCGACGACGTTCCACGCGCGGCAACGACACTCCCCGGCGAACCTCAAATCACCCCTAACGCCCCGCCCTGCTTGGCTCCCCTAAGCTCCATCCCACTTCGTCCACGCCGCGACACGACACTCGCCGCGCAGGTGAGGCAGATCGGCCGTCTGGACTAGGACTCGGCAGCCAGCGGCTCCCGCGCCACGCCGCCTCCCTGACCGACGTTCTCGCACCGACGCCAACCACTTCAGAGCACGAGTTTTTCCTGGCAACAACATGGCTAGGCCAAATCAGCTGCTGCATTTTTTCGTCTACAGCCTGCAAGCAATGACTTTATTTACTTCATATTCTATTATTCTATCGTTTTGAGACAGAGTCTCACTCTATCCGGCAGCCGGCTGGATGCACACGGCACAATACTCGCCCATGGAACCTCCTGCTCTCCGGCTTCAAGCACAGCCTCCTGATACCCATAGGCCCCTACAGCCGTGCCCCCCACCACCCCGCCCTGCTCATCTTCTTTTTCCTCTCTTTCTTTTTTTTAACGGACTCCCGCCTGTTACCCGGCCGGCCAGGCTGGAGTGCAGTGGCGCGATCTCGCTCACGCAAGCTCTGCCTCCGGGTCACGCCATCTCCTGCCTGCAGGCCTCACGAGTCACGACTATAGGCACCCCACTTGCCGGCGGCTCGTTTTTCGTACATTTTTAGATAGAGAAACACGTCCTCACTCGTGTTACCCAAGCGATGGTCCCTATTCTCCTGACCCCCTCGTCCTCCGCGCCGTCTCGGCTACCAACAGGGCTGGGATTACAGGCTTTCGAGCACCCCGCCGCCTGGCGCCAAGCATTTTTTTCACAGAGACTGCGGTTCACCTGTACCAC